GAGGAGATGAAATTTAAAAGTATAATGAAGGACTATTAGCTTTAAAACTGTATTTCTCTTGCTGAGAATTCTCACCTGGTGCCATCTTTAAAGATATTCCCTTCCTCCACTTCCATAAAGTATATCTGTTTTTGATGCTGACATCCTCCAGTAATCCTGTTAAAATATTATGCTTGTAATATTGGGTTGACATAGCTGTGGGCAGCACATCCTATCAGTGGCTGTTAGAGCAAGGATTAAAATTAATTTATCAGTTGTATAGGAAATGCTGATCTCTCTACGGGACCTTGTTTATTTTTAAGATTGAAGCATGGAATCTCATCAGTGCATGAAGTTGATAAGAAGCCTTTGTATTGACCTGATGCTACAGCATTAGTACAGATTGGCCTCAGACTAATCCATGCAGATGTTGTAGAATGTATGCCTAAAAGTTTTGATCAGGTTTAATAAGTTAAGAGTTTGACTCCTTTGATAGAGTCTAGATAAAATTAGTCACAAATTATGCTTTATAATAAATGGCATATGCAGTGTGTAATTATCCCCTTTTGCTTTCTTAAGTGCATGTTCTTGTTGGCTTGACTGAGGCTGAACCAAAATGTGCCATTAATAGCCCAAATTAATATGCAGTTTTTAAAAAAAATTAATAGTGGGTCTCAGCCGCAGAGGAAGACAAAATCAAATTCCCTTCTGAACAAATCTTGCCAAGAAAGTCATGTGATAGGTTTACATTAACTTTGGGTACAAAACGGCTGTGATATCAACAATGGAAAAAGGCTGAGGAGCAATGAGGCTAAGTAAGGAGAACGCAAAATTTAAAAATAAAATTTTTATTTAACAATAAAGAAAAAAAATGATATGAAATAACACATTAGGAGAAACTACATAAACCCAAAATGATATAATAAAATTGATTATCATGATCATGATGATTATGATGCTGGTGGTGACGATGATGATGATGATGATGATAATAATAATAATAAACTTTATTTGTATATTACCCTATCTCCCTGAAGGGACTCAGTGCTGTTTCCAACATATAAGGCAAACATTCAATTGCCAGAAAGAAAATCATGCAGACAAATTACATCAAGACAAATACATAGAAAATATGAAAAAAAATTACAACATTAATTTACTATACTTCAAAAAATTTAAAAAACAAAAACAAAACAGGGAAAATTGAAAAAAATGGCTTCCAACTATCCATTTGACAGTTATAATTGATTACTAATCCTGCTTTGAGTTTCATAACATAACATAATATACTTCTATACATTTGTTAACTGACTATTCTTCCAACCCTCATACTGATTATCTTCCCCAGTAGTTGCTCAAAAATACAGTTAATGACTGCCAGACTTGCTTAAAAGTGGTTAATGGTTTTTCTTTAATCAAAGCTGTCAATTTGTCTGGTGAAGGAGATGTGTGTGTCCCATTACTCAACTCCCTCTGCCATCTTTCCCTTACCTTGTTGATTATAATGATCTGCAACGGACTTCACCCCTTCCCATCAGCCCCAGAAAGCATTCCTATATTGATAAGAAATTCTGCGATGTGTGACCCAAAGCCAATCCACATTGCTCAGGGCTCTAATTAGGGTTCAGTGCCCGCACCGCTTTGCTGCCTGGAGCAGCCTTGTTGCTTCCTCTGCTCACCCCAGTCTTGTCTCGGTGGGACATGGGGGGATTTCAGACATTTGTTTCTACCCACATGGCTAGCATGGTCTTTCAGCTATCAGTCAGCCCAACCACATTCAGGGAACAGCTGCTACACTATTTCTTTTTTTTTAATCAACATGCAGCATGTGCTGTGTTTGAATCAGAGAGACCATCTCGCCATTTGCCAGCCTTGCTGTGGAAAGACCAGTCAGTAAATGGTCAAACTCTGGCCTGTTCCAAACCTAGGATTCACAATGCCAGTCCCAAATGCTCAGCCTGGAGTAACCAATCTCCTGCAAACTGAGTGACACAACAGAATACAGCCTAGTAGTTGTGTGGCCAGCTGTGATAAGCTCCAGCCATTTGCCTATCCTTTCTGGTGGTGAGGAATGGAGTGCATGGCAGGAAGGGCATATCAGATGTCTGAGACTCAGACAGACAGCTGCATTTAGCTGAATTTCCTTAATGTGCCTCCTAAGACTGCAGAACAATCTCTCTCCAGAGATATCTCGCATGCCTTCTTAAGGCCTCCTTATGCTGCCTAGTAACTGCATAACGTAGCCCAAGCACATAGTTGTTTGCAGCACTAGCATTGCAGAAGAAAATTGTATTAATATAACTAAATGGGCACGTTGGCAAATAGGCAGAAGGGAGATTCCTGTCTGTCTGGGATCTCCTGTAAGCAAGGCCCGATATCCAAATCTCCTGTTCTGTAGAAACTTGTGCAGAAACCTGGTCCAACTGTGCTGGCCATGAAAAAGCTTTTGTGAAGAAATTTGGGAGAATCCTGTCAGTGTGGTTTAACCACTGTGCCTTGTGATGCAGCTGCTCTGGTTTATGCATGCCTTCCAGCTAGCTGTGTGCTTGGGAAATGTTATTCTCATTGTGTGAAGAGGGTGAAGACACTCTGATCCCATGTCCTGCTTATTCTCTGCCTCACACACACACACACAAAGTCAGAACTGATTGTTGAGTAGGTTTGGATAAGAGGACAAAGTAAATAGTTATCACAATTTAATGCCACTTTAGCTATCATGGTTTCTGGGTTGTTGTAGGTTTTTCGGGCTATATGGCCATGTTCTAGAAGCATTCTCTCCTGACGTTTCGCCTGCATCTATGACAAGCATTCCCAGAGGTTATGAGGTCATGGTTTCACCCTCAGGAATTCTAGGACTTGTAATTTGGCTGAGAAATCTCTACTAGAATGCTGCAGTGTTGAAGTTCAGGAAAGTGGACTAGAGCTCTCTAGCATGGAAATTGAAATACTTCCCCAGGGTATGGCATCCAGCATTTGTAGGATGGAGGCATGATATTTATAATAGAATCAGTCTGAATTTTACTGTATTGTATAGATGCACTCTTCCTTTCAAACAACCATACACTGTGTTCATGTTGTGCTTGCCCATATGCAACTTCACCAAAATATTCTATTAAAAAGCTAATTTAAAACAGACAGTCTATTTTAAGCACATGAACCTGAGGTAGAGAGCTCTATACGGGGAGGGGGGATTTGTCTGTACAAATAGGGACACAGTGTTCCAAGCCTCTTAATAAAGCATAATAAAGTGCATATCATCACATTTGCTTTGAAATATTTGAAAATATGTTTGATTGATGTAAAGAAGTTAAACAAATTTTAAAAAACTAAAATTAGTTTTGAATCCATTACATTAATTTTAAGATCAAGAGCAGCCACAGATGGCTATTACAGGAGATATTTTATTGGTCTACCTGAGAAATGAGGAAAAACATCTCTAAATGTTCAATACTATGTGTTGTCGAAGGCTTTCATGGCCGGAATAGCTGAATTGCTGTGAGTTTTCTGGGCTGTATGGCCATGTTCCGGAAGCATTCTCTCCTGATGTTTCACCCACATCTATGGCAGGCATCTTCAGAGGTTGTGAGGTTTGTTGGAAACTAGGCAAGTGGGGTTTATATATCTATGGAATGGCCAGTGTGGGAGAAAGACCTCTTGCAATTGGCCATCTTGATTAGAATTGAATGGCCATGCAGCTTCAAAGCCTGGCTGGGAATTCTAGGGAATTCCAGACAGGAAACAATCAGGGCCAGCTAACACATTCCAACAAAGGATTCCCCTAGACAGGAAGTAGCCAGGCAACATCCACACTTTCCTCCAGCAGACAAGAGTTCTTTCTCCTCACTGTTCAATAATACTTTTTTTTAAAGTAGAAACATCATTTAATAATTGGAGAGTTCCTATTTCAGACACTTTTAAATAGGCACTTGAGGAAGGCATTAAAGAGAACATATAGATCAAAATATATCAGGATTTTCTATTAATAAAAACATTGGATTCCATTGGCCAAGTTTTTGCTTCTTTTATTTTATTGGATTAGGTTATATAGTCCTCCCTGAGTGATTGATTAAGATGACCTAGCCATGTTCAACCCTATGTTTTCTTCTGCCTTGGAGACTAGGGCGCAGAACAATGGCTTCAAACTACAGGAAAGGAGATTCCACCTGAACATTAGGAACAACTTCCTAACTGTGAGAGCTGTTCAGCAGTGGAACTCCCTGTCCCTAAGTGTGGTGGAGGCTCCTTCTTTGAAGGCTTTTAAACAGAGGCTGGATGGCTATCTGTTGCGGGTGCTTTGAATGCAATTTTCCAGCTTCTTGTCAGGGGGTTGGACTAGATGGCCCATGAGGTCTCTTCAACTCTATGATTCTTTCTTTTAAACAGAATAAACCATATAGGACTCAGAGACTCAGTATACACATGTAATTCGCATACCCAATTGATGTTATTTCTCTTCTGGATGCATATTTCGTTTTCTGCTCTCTGTCTCATTCCTTCTCCCGTTGTTCTGCCTTTGCCTGTAAATGCTTCCAGGAGGCATCCTGGAATACTATTAACCTTTCATACAAGCAGCCAGCTTCTGAACTCTGCCCAGTTACTTGATTGAAAAGAAAGAAAATTGATTGGGGGATAATCTAAGGGTAGGCGCTTTCATTATGTGGCACTCTGTGGTGTGGCAGCTTCAGAGGTGCTTATGGGCTCATACTGGAAAGTGGGTTTTTCTTATACTTTTATAGCTTTTATAGCAAAATTCTTAAACTGACCAATTTATCCTCATAAATAATGAGTGAAATGAAACCTTGAAGGGCTTCAGTCATGCCTTTATGTCAGAAATGAAGAATGTAACACTTCTGATATTGTGGGACTGCAATCCCAATCAACCGATGGTGAGAGAATCATGGGAGATAAGAGTGTCATCTGAAAGACACGTGATCCTTTTTTATTATTTGTAGTTCTCATTGATGTGTTTGGTGAATTATGAGATACATTTTAAATGTTTCTTTCTTTTCTTCTATTTGCAGTGGGATCTTGTCTGTGATTCTTCTTGGAAAGTCCACATCGCGAAGTTCTCTCTGCTTGTAGGATTAATCTTTGGCTACCTAATAACAGGATGTATAGCTGACTGGTAAGTGAGGATTTACATGTGTCTTAAGATGGGTAAAACACATTACTCAAATTGCTTGGGAACAGAAGTGTTTTGGATTTTAGACTTTTTCAGATTTTGGAATATTTGCATAGGCATATTGAGATACCTTGGAGATGGGACACTAATCTAAATGCAAAATGCCCTTGTGTTTCATATATATCAGATACATATAGCATAAAGGTAATTTTATAAACACTATTTTTAATAATTTTGTGCATGAAACAAAATTGACGACTTATCTTTAGGCCAAAGTTGCGTGGTAGCCTGTGTGCCTGGGTGCCTAAGGCTGAGGAGACACAGTATGGTCTTGTAAACAGTTGTGGCCTGTTCCATCTTGGAATTGACCAAACTGTTTACATGGCCTGAAGGTACAGTTTGCTCTGGTTTCTGGGGGGAATTTGGAGCCACCTGCATCTTTGGTTAATACAGTTTAAGACTGGATTAAGCAGCCTTGGTTTGTGTTAACTTAAATCATCTTTGTGCATTATTTAGCTACTACAGAGCTGATTCACTGATCCTTCACACTACGTGATCAATGTATATCAGGTATGGGCAAACTTCGGCCCTCCAGGTGTTTTGGACTTCAACTCCCACAATTCCTAAAAGCCTATCGGCTGTTAGGAATTGTGGGAGTTGGAATCCAAAACACCTGGAGGGCTGAAGTTTGCCTGTTCCTGGTGTAGATGCTCCCAAAGTTTGTGACAATTGAGAAAGCAAACATGTCACTATCTTGACCACTCATGTGACAGTTTTGGATTTTGAAGTATTACAGATCTTGTCTTTCTGGATAAGGGGTGTTCAACTAGTAATAAATTTGCTTATCTCTGTTATAAGGCTATTTTTCATGGAGAAGCCCCAATTCTTTTCCCCAAAACTATTATTTATTATTTATTTAAAACATTTATATTCCACCCTTCTCACCCCACAGGGGACTCAGGGCAGAGCACAACATATATATGGCAAACATTCAGTGCCGGGACATAAAACCATAAATATATACAAACATTAAAATCACTTATTTACACATTAAAAGTTGCTTAAAAACCATCTCAGGACACCATTTTGCCTTAGTAAACTCAATCAACTACTGTTACTTATTCCTAAACCTTCTACTTTGAAGCATGTGACACAAGCACTGATTGATGTTTTTGTGCAAACTAAAGGGATTCTAAATTTTTAAAGAAGGTGCTATGAGATAACATGGTTGGCTTACAGTGATGTACATTTACTAGGGCTGCTTGTCAGCCCAGATTTATTCATCTGGAGATGCTTTCCAAGGGGGGTAAGATAGATGCCTATTACATGCCTTTCCCAATAGATACATTTCAAATTCCGTCACAAACATAAACATTTCTTCATTTTGTGTGGTTTGGTTCATTGTCATTAAGAGAGAGATAGTATACGAATCATAAGCAAGCATGAACAGCAAGAATGAAAAAAATGGCTCCAAAGTAGAGGGGAACTTTCATTTGCATTTTGAAAACTCTTCTATTTCTAGAAACAATAGCAAGCCCAGCCCATTCTGGTATCCTAATCCAATTTCAAATGTTCATTTAAAAGATTTGTCATGGCTAGTAGTACGAGGCTGCAGATAGAGATCTGCAATTGTTATTAATCTCCTCCTGAAGAACAATGTTGACAGTGTCCATGCTCTGATGCTCATTGAGATCTGCATCAGATATGCCCCTGTGGTCCTGATGTGGCATTTGACATGTGCATAGAAATCTGATTATGTCCATGGCGCTCTTAGCTAAAAAAATAATATTCTGTCTTATATTCTGTTCATGCGTTTTGCTCCCAGACTCTGGTGCTTCCAAGTGACCTGCAGACTGTTCTTGTTCTATAAATCTCCAAAAATATACATTGTATCGTGCCAGAAACTTTGTATTTTTCTCATGATTTAATGAGATCATTATCAGTTGAGAACAGGGTAGGAGCTGCACCAGACCTTTCCAGCAAAATAAGGATGAACCTACATTGCAGAATTAATGCAATTTGACACCACTTGAACTGCCATAGCTCAATTTTATGGAGTTGTGGAAACTGTAGTTTGGTGAGTACCTGGCAATCTTTGGCAGAGAAGGCTGAAGACTTTTTAAAACTACAATTCCCATGATTCCATAGTATTGAGCCATGGTAAGTAAAGTGACAAACCAGACTAATTTTACAGTTTTCAACATATAATTTGAACAAAGGTCAAGGATTAAATCAGGGTGCCTTGACTGTAAATTTCTCTTAGTTTTTTCTTAAACTGGTGTTTAGGATAAGCTATTTTACTGAGTTTCAGTATTATAGCATTGTGTTTTTTTTAAAATTTATATATGTTTTAAATTATTATATGTGAGCTTCCTTGACCCCAGTATTGGAAAGAGGGATTTCCAGTATTGGAAAGAGGGAACATAAAATCAGTCAAATAATAATAATAATAATAATAATAATAATAATAATAATAATAATAATGCAGATCTGAGTAAGGTGGTCTTTTACAGCTAACAGATGGTAATTTTGTCAGTGCCAATTGTTTTTAAGTGCAGGCCAAAGTCTTTAGGCACTGCACCCAGTGTGCCGATCACCACTGAGACCACCTTTACTGGCTTGTGCCAGAATCTTTGCAGCAATATGAGGATTTAAAGATAGAACTGCAAACTACTTGGATCTGCCCGCATTATGCGCCGATACATCACACAGTCCTAGATTGATTTCTTACCCGCCTCTCCTCATGGCTCGAGGCAGGTTACAACATTGCTAAAACACATAATCAAACACACATAGTCATTTAAATAAAAACATAAAATACACATATTAAAACATATTTCCATAAAATACATATTAAAATACACAAAACAAAAGTTAGACATAGAGTGTAGACATAGAGTGGAAGTTTAAAATTTATAATTTAAATTGTTTGAGTAGGCCTGCTGGAAGAGATAGCTCTTCGCTTATGTCTTAAATTCCAATAGCTGATTTATTTAGTCAAGGAAAGGACTATCTGATCTCATGGGAGCCTGCATGCACATTAAGATTTTTATTGGAAGACCTGTTTTCAGTGGCCTGATCATCTTAGACAGGTGTTCCCAAACTGAGCCATGTGGGCCAGATGCAGACCTTCAAGGTCATTTACTCAGCCCCTGTCCTATACTTTAGCCTGAAACGACTTGAAGGCACACAACAACAACAACAACAACAACAGTCCTCAAAACAGAGCCAAAAGCAGGCTCAAACTTCCCATTGAAATACAGGTAAGTTTATATTGGATAAAATTGTTCTTTATTTTAAATATTATGTTATTCTTTAATATTTTTGGTACGACCAATAAGATATGTCCAGTGTGCATAGAAATTTGTTCATGTTTTCTTCCCCAAACGCTCTGAGAGACTGTGAACCGTCCTTCTGCTTTAACAGTTTGAGGACCCCTGATCTTAGGCAAGGTGGGCTACAGAATCACCTTGGTTGTTGTATTTTCTCATCACAAAGTGACAAATGTAGCAGATCCTCTTTCAGGGATTTCCTATATGTTGTTCTCCCTTGGGACTCAACAGATCAGGTTAAGAATAAGACCTGTTTGAAAGGTGGCTGGAAATGCTGGAATAAAAACCTTCTTGGTTTCGTTCCTCTCTTGTTTCTCCAGGGTTGGTCGTCGGCCAGTGCTTCTCTTCTCCGTCTTATTCATTTTGATATTTGGACTAACGGTGGCCCTCTCGGTGAACGTTACAATGTTCAGCACACTCAGGTTTTTTGAAGGGTTTTGCCTGGCTGGGATAATCCTTTCACTGTATGCACTGAGTGAGTATTACCTTCATAATGCATCTTTGCATCTTTAAAAAACTTGCCAGCTGCATTTTTTCACAGTTTGTGGAATTGACTGTATTTCAATTTGATTGTCCTGAAGGGGGCAGAAAACTTGCTAATTTTATATGTGTATTATTAACATTGCTGTTGGTGTCACGTTGCTCAAAAAATTAACCAACATCCTAGTGTGTTTGTTGCATTACAAAGTCCTCATTTATGCAGATTTACCATATGTACAAGATTGCATTGTTAGTTTATCAATCATATGGCGTACAGCGTAACTATATATGTTAACATGCAACATCTCTGAATTAGAAGGCAATAATATTTCATTATATTCATTTAGAACATTTCTCATATTCAAGCTTAGTAGGAAATTTCTCATTCTGAGTTTCCACTGGTCACAAATGTGGTTATCTCTTTGGTCTCTTTAACATAGTTTTTCACCACAGTAGAGAGAAAAACAATGCTAGAATAGGCTTCCCTTGGAAGTTGCCACTGAGGTCATGACTGATTTTTAGAAAAGTACTTCCCTCAAATGTCTAACTCCACCACACCAACTCAGTAGCATACTGGGACTGGAACTTCGATCGTATCCCTGATTTCAGGTAACAGCAATCCAGTTAGAAATATATCCCCTCTCCTACATGATTTTTTTCAGAATATTAATTTTTCCACTTAAAATCTTATCTTGAATAGGCAGCATTCTTAAGCAAGGGATTTCACATAGTATCATATTTAGGCTCTAAGTAGCCCGGGAGGGTCACCATCAAATTGATCCATCGAAATCAGCTATTAGTAGCATATCAGTTGTTCCTGAGTCAATTTAATCCCAATGAATTTCAGTGGGTGTGCTGTACACACGTCTAAATCCAACACATATTGGGGATTCCTTACTAAAGATAGATCTCAGCCAAGGAGGTAAACATCAAGAAGTTGTCTCATTGGTCCTTTCAATATTCAACCTTCAGAATGATATACAAGTGTCCTTGTACTAACAGGAGCCCTTGTGTCAATGCCCATCCGTGGAAGTAAGAGCCAAGAAAATATTTATGACTATATGAAAATTACTGAGTGATTGGTTTGTTTGGGGATTACTGGTAGTCCAAAAGGGCAGCTTTTCCGTGCTTTAATACTTCCTATAAGCTTCTCTCCCCTTTCACCTTGTGTTATATTGTAGCATTTAAGAGTCAGAATTTAACATTAAGTGTTAGTAGAAAAGTAATCTAAAACTACATAAGTGGAAAAAAAAATCACATTTTTAGGTAGATGCTCCTGTTAGTGTTGAAGCCCGTCCTGTTAAAATACTGTGTTCTCGTTTCTGTAATGACCTTCACCTTAGCGTACACAGCGGTATCTAAGCAGTGGCACAGGATTTGCACACAATTGCAGGGTGTTCAGTAATTTCATGGACTGCTGAACTAAAAATTGCCCTCCACAACTAGGAAGTATAGGCCGACTAAGCAGGTGGCCAGATTGGGTTCTGAAAATAGCTTTGTTGCAGCAAATCACTGTGTCTGTTGGTGCAAGGAAGTGCTTTCTGCTTTGAAATGAAGTTAAGGAAGAATGCTAGGACAAGATAGCCTTACACTAGTTTCATTAGAGGCAATTCACATTATGCTAAATACTATGCTGAAATACTTGGTTTCCCAGTGAATTCAGAGGTGTGAAGGAGTAGCTAGCATTATATTAGCTACTAGCTTGGGGACCCGGCGTTGCCCGGGTTATTAGAGAAAGTGGGTAATGGCGGTTCTGTATGGCAAGTTTGGTCTTTATTGGTCTTTGGATAATGGCAGCATTATTTTCAGGAAGTGAGTGAAGGTACTTGAAGTCCCATCATCCAAAGTCCATCCCCTTTCAAATTGCAGCAGGATGTAGAGTGGATCATGGGGGCTCTGTGTGCCAAGTGTGGTCTTGATTGGTCATTAGAAGAGGGTTGCAGCAATCTTTGGAAGGGAGTGGAGGTACTTGAAGTCCCATCATCCATGGTCTGTCCTCCTCCAAACTGCACCAGGATGTAGAGTGGGTCTTTGGAGCTCCATGTGGCAAGTTTAGTCTTGATTAGTCACTGGCGAGGGTCTCAGTGGTCTCAGGAAATGAGCAAAGGTACTGCAAGTCCCATCATCCATCTCCAAAGTTTTCCAAATAACACCAGGACGTAAAGTGGGTCATGAGAGGTCTATGTGCCAAGTTTGGTCTTGATCCGTCATTGGATGAGGTTTGCAGAGGTCTCAGAATGTGAGTGAAGGTACTGGAAGTTCCATCATCCATGGTCCACCCTTCTCCAAAACTGCAGCAGGATGTAGAGTGGGTCATGGGGGCTCTGTGTGCCAACTTTGGTCTTGATTGGTCATTAGATGAGTTTTGCAGCAGTCTTGGGTAGTGGAGGTACTTGAAGTCCCATCATCCATGGTCTGTCGTCCTCCAAACTGCTCCAGGATGTAGAGTGGGTCATTGAAGCTCCATGTGCCAAGTTTAGTCTTGATGAGTCATTGGCGTGGGTCTCAGTGGTCTCAGGAAGTGAGTGAAGTGACTGCAAGTCCCATCATCCATTGTCAAATTCTTCCAAACCGCACCAGGATGTAGAGTGAGTTATGCGGACTCTCTGTGTAAATTGTGGTCCTGATCCATCATTGTTGGCAGTTTATAATGGTCTTAGGAAGGGAGTGCAGGTATTGCAAGTCCCATCGTCCATGGTGCATCCTCCTTCAAACTGCACCTGGATGTAGAGTGCGTCATGGAGACTCAGTGTGCCAAGTTTGGTATTTTTTGGTAATTGGATGAGGGTTGCAGTGGTCTGAAGAATGAGCAATGGTACTGCAAGTCCCATAATCCACGGTCCATCCCCGGCCAAACCACACCAGGACGTAAAGTGGGTCATGAGAGGTCTCTGTGCGAAGTTTGGTCCTGATCAGTCATTGGATAAGGTTGAGAGCGGTCTCAGAATGTGAGTCCTGATCAGTCATTGGATAAGTTAACAGCGGTCTCAGAATGTGAGTGGTGGTACTGCAAGTCCCATCATCCATGGTTCATAGTCCTCCAAACTGCAGTAGGATGTAGAGTGGGTGATGGGGGCTCTGTGTGCCTATTTCGATCTGTATTGGGAGTGTTCTGACCCAGGCCCCGGCCTTTCCTTTCCTCTCTTTCTCATCTCGGAATGTTGGATTTGAGGCTGGCCAATCAGAGACCATATGCAAATTTCCTTCTGTCATGCCCCGTTTCTGCCATGAGCCCTCTTCTCCACCAGGGGCTCCTATTGAAGGTGGCCAATCAGAGACCATATGCAAATAGCACCGCAGCGGCAGCCAATCAGAACGCTGCCACATACTCCTTCCTCTGTCCGATACAAACATTCTCTTTTATTATATATATAGATGGGAAATTTCTTTTTGTGAATTTTATCCTCTTCCCTTCCCTCACTACATTGTGGAGTGTTGAAGCAGATTCAGACTTCTTTTTCCTTTTTTGTCTGGACTAGCTTAAAATAACCACACTATTTTCAACATAAAGACATGCATGTTTTGTGTCTCCCTGCACTGAGGCATTTCTGTTATGACTTTTCTGTAAGTGGAAGAAACCCATAATCAAAATGAATTGTCTCCATCTTTGGAATCCTGAGACTTACAGAGAGGAACATTCAGGTCTCCTGTGCATCACAAAACTATTTAAGCCCATTATTAAATAGAATGGAACCACAGCAGTTACTCGTACTGCTATAGTTATGGAGTATGAATGAGCTCCATATTTTGATCAGAGTATGGAAAAGTTTCTTTGTGAGTTTACAACTCCCAGAGGCTCCCAGCCACCATAGATATAGGTATCATTTTCCTCTTAACTTACTGAGAAATCTTATTTCAGAGTGGGCAGTCACATCTCAGGTAAATGAACATTCCAGAATCCAAAGTGCATTGAATATAGCATGAGTGTTATTTTATCACCACATTTTGCTTTTCTTCAAGAAATATTTTCATTCATACTATGTTTTGCTACCAACAGTGTTTTCACTATTGTGGGCCCTTAGTATCTGCTAAGGCATGGTTCCAAGACCCCGTCATAGTTACCAAAATCTATGAATACTCAAGTCTTATTATACAAACTTGTTTTCTGCTGCCCTGGAGACTAGGACACAGAACAATGGCTTCAAACTACAAGAAAGGAGATTCTATCTGAACATCAGGAAGAACTTCCTGACTGTGAGAGCTGTTCAGCAGAGGAACTCTCTGCCTCGGAGTGTGGTGGAGGCTCCTTTGGAGGCTTTTAAACAGAGGCTCAATGGCCATCTGTCGGGGGTGTGTTGAATGCAATTTTCCTGCTTCTTGGCAGAATGGGGTTGAACTGGATGGCCCATGAGGTCTCTGACAACTCTATGATTCTGCAATGTCATAGTAAAATAGTGTCTCTTATATAAAATTGCAAAATAAAAAAAATATATTTTGTATATATTTAGAAATATTGTCAAGTCATGAATGGTGGAATTGTAAGCGCATAATGTGTGGATGTGGGAGCCAACCATATTTACATATTCATGTGTGAGTTGCTGCTTAAATAAAAGAGAGCTTACACATTATTATGATATGATAACTAATTTTTAAATGGTGTGTGACAGCCCTTTTCCCATCACTGTTTTAGAAATGTGATATTTTTCTAATTAAATCTTTCTGATCCAGAACAAAGGTTAATCACTGTGTTTTATGACATTTCATGGGTTAGTTGTATGGCAGCTGTGGTTGAGTGAATAAGCAGTTAGCACTAAATAAATAATTTCCTTTCCTTTAATGATTGCTTTGATTTATTTTTTTTGCCTGTTAAATTGATTTTTGGGTGAACTGGACTTTTCCACATTCCACCTGCAGCAAGCTGTGGTGCACATGGGCCGGTTTCGCACTGCATTTATAATTTAAAGAGAAATGTTTAGAATTCCCAGCAAAAGGGCTCCTCACCAAATTATAAACCTCAGGTTTCTCTGTCATATGGTCATGGCAGTGGAATCATAG